ACGGTAGCTGGTGGAGGTCTAAGAGTGGCAGAGGTAGGGGCCCTCCCAGGTGACGACAAGAATTGCCAGAGGGTAGTGTGCTTACATGTAACCCATAGAGCGGGGGAGGAGGTGAAAATCTGGGTGGAGCTGTAGCCATTTGGGGAAGCAGCGGGTAATGTCTGAATTCAGAATTGTGTCTCCTTTAGGAAAACTTCTGTGCCTTTATACCATGTGGAAACGTTTAACCCATGGTCTGGTTCTACTTAACACAATCTGATCATTATAAATTAAATGAAAACTTCTCCATGAAACCACCATTCAATTTAGAAGAAATTAGCAGGAGTTTTCTGATCTTCCTGTCCCCCTTTCAAATGGTAAAATTGGCTCACTAGTCAAGGCATAGGCAGAATGTTTAAAATAGAAAAATATACATCTGACCAGGAGATAATTATGCCCATTCCCCCTCATATGTTGAAGAAACATAATTTTTCATCTTCTTAGGTAAAATTATTCTTACAGGTATATATTTTTCTTTTAAAGAATATATTATATAAAGAACTGTTTCAACTTTGCTCGAATTTTTACTGCCGCTTCAATTTAATGGCAGGAAACCGAAAGCATTTTTGCCAAAACAATAAAAGGATTGTCTTTCTCCAGAGGAACAGGAGGTCCTTAAACCTTTGCTTATAATGTCTAATATATACTTGTCAGGATACACTCTGGGTATAATGTTTCTACATTTGATAAGAAAATGAATTCCATATTCCTATTCTCAACATATTTTTTTCTTTATACTTTTGAGACCATACAAACATTTTCTAGCTTGGTAAACATAAATATTTTTGACAGCTTATTCAAGAAATAATTAGAAACAGCAAAAGTGGGCTTTTATGATATAAATAGAACTTCTACATATATAAAATGTACACACCAAACTGTTTTACAAACTCTGTGCACATCAATCAAGTCTTTTTTATGTGCCATTTTATAAAAAGCTTATCTAAAGTAAAGATTATGGCCCCTTCCCTAAAAACATTCTTTCTGTCCTAAATGCTTTATCTTTTTCTACCCTCAAGAGAATAAAGGCATGTACTTTTGGCACATTTCACATTAAAGAGTGATCTGAATCTTCTGATCAGTCTGTGCTATCATACTCCTGAATTTGAGTTACTCACTGATGTTAAACTTTCTTTAAAAAAAAAAAATTAAGAGTACAAGAAACACTTATTTTGCTTTAAATAACAAACTAGACTTTATTCACAATAAAATAATAGTAAATATTTTAAAATCCAGACTCTTCTTCCTTATTTTAGTCAATGGCTAAATTCCTGAAAGGGAACATGAAATTACTTCAGAAAATTCAAATAATTTTTCTATTGGCTGATATTTTAATTTTGCATGCTCACATTAAAACTTTCATATCAATATGCACTAAAAGTATTTTTAGGAATTCAGAAAATATAATTTAAGGCACACATTTTGAGGTGAAACCTGAAAACATGTAATAAAATATTAATGACAATGCATGAAATATTTAACTACCATTAAAAAGCAAGGTATAGCAGCCTTAAAAGCTCTAGGGCGCTTACTGTTTTTACAAACCTCGGGTCCTTCAGGACTCACCTCATTTTTGCACATAAAACCAAAGTACTACTTCATCAAAACTTTTTTTGCCTATAGTTCACAAAACAACAAAGGGAGAGCTTCCTTATTTAATGATTCCTAGCGAGCCCAACAATATTCTCATTTCATAATACTAGAAAAGGTGAAATTTCAAATAGGTCTGTCTGACTCTAATTGACCATTAGCGACAAAGGCTCATCAAAAAAAGATTCAATTGTGTTCAGTGTCTTTGTAAGAAAAAGTATAATGTATTTCAGAAAGCTCTCTAATAAAACATTTTAAAATTTTGTCCTTTTATTCAAATGAGCCTAATTTGATGAAAATCTTATTGATCTAGAACCTCTTAGTGCTCTACGATGTTAGATAAACAAAGCCTTATGCATTAATAACCAGATTTCTGCTTTTCAAAAGATAAGCAGTGCCTCAGCTTCCCTTCTCTATACTAAAATGCCTTTTACTTAATAAACTCTAGAGAGAAAGGCAGACTAGCTTCATAAACAATCTGTTGTAGTAAAAGCTATTAATTCTACCTTGCTAAAGTGGAATGTGGCATCATTTCCCTAGTATTTAACTTTGTAGCATCTCAAAAGAAAAGCTTTGACAATTTCTTATACATTTTCATTTTAAACCTTTTTAGCATCTTAGCTTTCATGCTGTTCCTATGTCCACTAAACTAAAGTAATCTGAGAGTTGAGTCGGATCCAACCAGATAAAATCTACATTAACACAAGTTTTGAAATAGTTTTATTAGCTCCCCCTTCTCTGGCAATGTGTCATTTATTATTTTCAGTTTATAGTCTTTGTTCTCAGCCAGCCACTCCACGTTCTTTCTGGAAGTAGGCAAAACTGAAAATATAAATAATTGATTGACAGGATTGCAGATTACTGTTTCAAAGCAAGTTGGGCACCATTCATGTTTATATGTTGCACGAGTAATCTCTAACCTGAGAGAGGCCAGTGCTGTGACTGGAACTCTGATCCCTAATGTTAATGGTCCTTACATTAATATTTTAGCAGGCTCTGCTGGTCATTATGGTAAATGACTTTGTCAGTTTATGATCTTAGAAGGGCATTTTAAATCCTTAGTGAGGTAGAATATGTAACAGAATGACTGACAACACGTTGGAAATATCCTGCAGTTGCTGAGGTGATTTCCTAAGAGGTGTGATTTCTAAGCATCAAATGCTAGAGACCTAGAGAGAAAGCAAAGTATGGCAGGAAGAGGCCTGTCCCTGAGCGTTCTGATGTGAGCTTAATCCAAGCACTTCCAGTGGCGTAAGTGCCCTTGTTTATATTAATCTCCCAGGAGCCACAAGCTCCTCACCTCTCTGGGAATGTTAATTCCTACTCAGAATGGTGTTTGAAGAATTAAATGAAATACCCTAGATAGATTATACAAGCACACAAAAGAGGCCCACTGAAAACTAGCCTCTTTATTCTTATTCTGTATGGCTGAATAGGATGACACCATTATGGAATTGAGAGAAATGACTTTTGTTACTATATTATTCATCTACACATTATCCATGTGTGGAGGATTTACTACTCAGGTTGAGGATGTGTCTTGGTTACTTTTCTTGTTGCAGAAACAAAATACCCAACACCCAACATTAAATGAGCTAAGGTTTACTTTAGCTTCACTTGGTAGAAGTTTCAGTGCATAGTCAGCTGGCTCCAAAGCAGGATGGTATGGCCAAGAGGAATTGCAGAGGACAGTTCATGGCAGGCAGAAGGCAGCAAAGTGGTGAAGTAGCAAAAAGAAGCAGACATCAACAGCCTACTTCTCTCTTATCTTTTCCAAGTTACCCACCTTTTTAGTGGAGCCACCCACTCCAGGGTGAGCCACCCTTAAACCCAGCATCATATCCTTAATTCCAGCATTACACACCTTAGATCCAACCACCTCCAAAAAGTCACGTGTGACTGCATGAGGCTTTGGGGAAATGTATACATATAAATCGTAACAGGATGAAAGGATCGTAAGGAATATATTTGATGAATGGAATAGTTCAGCACATCACATACAAATTGCTATATCTGAGCTGTTCATTTCAAGCAAAAGTTCCACAATGAAACATTTTAAAGCACTCAGTTTGTTGAGTGAATTTGAAAGCCCCTCTTTTCTCAATCTTTCTAAAGAAAAAAAAATCAACCAAAACTTTCTACCTCTACATTCTTACCTCCCTTACCCCAACACACCAAAAATTAATTAGTAAATATTTTTTTAACGGTCTGTGAAAAACTGTGGGGAATCATGGATATATTACTGTTCTAATATCAAAGGTATGCGTCAGCTCTGGAGGGGGGACTGTGTGCCTTATACTGTTCAGGAAGTGACATCTCCTAATTTGTTTTGCCCTTGGTAATTGGTTTGTAATGATGTGTACACTGGGAGATAGTTATATTTGCTCTAATTATACTTATGCAAGTTTCTTTCCAAACCATGAGCCTCTATTGTTTGTGGTTTAATGGGCAAGAAAAAAATCTCAGTGTTGTATTCCAATACAAAGTCCTAGGCAGATAGGTGCCTTTCCAGATCTTGGCATATTAATAGGAATTGGCAGAAAGGAAAATGGCTACTTTTGGTTTTACATATATGTGCCATAAACTGCAAAGATTATAGGCCTACACAACTATAAGGGGAAATGCTTATTTTTATGCACTTGTCTTAGTGATTATTTTAAAGTAAGGAAAATACTTTCAAAAGTACTTTTCATAATTATCTGCCACTTTTGATCTTGTGTAAATTAGCCTTAAAAAGTTGTCTCTCACATAATAATAGTAAAATGTGAAATTCTTATTTTGTTTCTTTATAAATCATTTTCACTTTTTGAATGTCATCCCATTGGTATTAATATTTCATTCCTCTTACTTTTTTTTTTCTCTGTATTGGGAATCAAACCCAGGGCCTCATGCTTGCCAGGCAGGCACTGCACTGCTGAGCTACATCCCCAGCCCCTCATTGCTCTTACAC